CACACACACACACACACACACACACACACACACACACACACACACACACACAGTATTTCCATTACATCATTTTAATCAACTTCATTTTAAATCTATATTTTCTTAAACAGACCCTGCTAATTTTTCCCATAATAACCAGCTGGATGTGTTTTACTGGTTGCTACGGTAATGGAGGATTTATTAAGTGTATTTTATAATCTTTAGAAGTTGATGAGCTTTGGTTCTGACCCAAAGGAAACAGTTAAATCTTCATGAAATCAGGTAAAATTAAGACAAAGCTCACATCTTCTGGATGTTCTCGCAGCCGGAGAAGCTCGGGACGATCTGGATCCGATTAAAAGAGAGGTCCCTGAAGAGACAAAAAACTTTCATCTGTCAGCACTGTGAAGTCCTACACACCCTGAACATATCACAGAGCGGCCATGTGATGGATGGATGTCTGAGCTGGTGGACGTGACCCTCAGGTCTGTTCAGGTTCTGGAGTTCTGCTCAGGGACAGGAGGACAGGAGGACTTACAGCAGCTGCAGGTTTGGAAGCTGATCACACATGGAGGCAGGCAGATAAGTGATCCGAGCTTCAGTGATGGTTCTGGACAGACAAATGATCTCTGAGTTAGATCTGCTGATTATCTGCAGGCTGAAAGGCAGTTAAATATTTCTTTATTATCCATGTATCTATCAGGTCATTGTGTTTTGTTTCATGTCATATTGTATTATATCGTTTCATGAAATATTCATCATTTATCACATCATACAGTATCGTATCACGGAATATCGTATCGTATTGCATCATTGTATCTTATTATATTGTAACGTATCACGTCATATTGTATCATATCGTATCGCATCATAACATATTCTATCATATATTGTATCATGTCATATTGTATTGTGTCGTATCTTATTGTATCTTATCGTGTAATATCGTGTCGTATCGTATTGTGTCATATCGTATCATATTGTAGCATATCGTATTGTATGGCATCGTATCTTATCATGTCATATCATATCGTATCGTGTCATCTATCATATTGTGATGTATCGTATGTATTGTGACATATCGTATCATATTGTGTTGTATAGTATCATATCGTATTGTGTCATATCATATTGTGTCACATCGTATCGTATTGTATCGTACTGTATTGTGACGTATCGTATCGTGACATATCATATTGTATCGTTTCATATCATATTGTGTCATTTCGTATTGTATTTTATCGCATCGTATCTTATCGTGTCATATCATATTGTATTGTGTCATATCGTATTGTGTCATATCGTATCGTGACGTATCGTGACGTATTGTATCGTGATGTATTGTATCGTATCGTGACATATCGTACCGTATCATGTCATATCATATTGCATTGTATCGCACCGTATCTTATCATGTCATATCATTTTGTATTGTGTCATATTGTATTGTGTCATATCGTATCGTGATGTATTGTATCGTGATGTATTTAGAGGTGTCCCGATACCGATAC